CATTCTCACAAAAAATATGGACTCATATTTCAATAATCACATTATTCAGTAATCACATTATGATTTTAAAATATATATTGTTTAGCCCTCGTAGCTTGAGGTTGAGCTCATTTTGGTTGTATTTTGTAGTAACACAGTTTAGTCCAGCGGTTTCTAGCCTAGAGGTCAGGAACTTCCAAGGGTCACAGCACAGACACACAAAAAATGGGAACTCTAAAATAACACATCCTAGATCTCAATGAATGAAATCTTCCAGTTGAAAATCTTTATTCATTACACAGTGGAATGCGTTGAGAACAAAACATAAGAATGATCAATGTAAATCAAAATTATTCCACGGAGGTTAGGATTTGGAGTCATACTCAAAATAAAAGTGGAAAATCACATCACAGGCTGATCCAACTTCAGTGGAAATTCCTCAAGACAAGTGAAAATGAGGTTCAGTTGTGTGTGTGTGTGTGTGTGTGTGTGTGGCCTCCACGTGTCTGTCTGACCTCCCTACAACGCCTGGGCAGGCTCCTGATGAGGCGGCGGATCTCCTCCCAGACCTGGAAAAAAGCATCATCAACTCCTGGGCAGTCTGTGGTGCAACGAGACACGATGTCCCAGATGTACTCAGGGTACCTCTGGCTAGCCAATAGAGGACAGTGCGGCCCTCCAAAGAAATGCCTCCCCAAACCATTACTGACCCACCGCCAAACCGGTCATGCTGGAGGATGTTGCAGGCAGCAGAACGTTCTCCATGGCATCTCCAGACTGGGTCACGTCTGTCACATGCGCTCAGTGTGAACTACTTTCATCTGTGAAGAGGTCAGGGTGCTAATGGTGAATCTGCCAATCTTGGTGTTCTCTGGCAAATGGCAATCTTCCTGCATGGTGCTGGACTGTAAGCACAAGCCCCACTGGTCGATGTCAGGCCCTCATACCACCCTCATGGAGTCTGTTTCTGACAGTTTGAGCAGAAACATGTATATTAGTGGCCTGCTGGAGGTCATTCTGCAGGGCTCTGGCAGTGTCCTCCTGTTCCTCCTGCACGAAGGAGGTAGTGGTCCTGATGCTGGGTTGTTGCCCTCCTACGGCCCCCTCCACGTCTCCTGGTATACTGGCCTGTCTCCTGTTATCTCATCCATGCTCTGAACACTGTGTTGAGAGACACAGCAAACCTTCTTGCCACAGCTCACATTGATGTGCCATCCTGGATGAGCTGCACTACCTGAGCAACTTCTGTGGGTTGCAGACACCACATCATGCTACCTCTAGGGGTGAGAGCACTGATAAAATGCAAAAGTGACCAAAACATCAGCCAGAAAGGATGAGAACAGACACATGGTCTGTGGTCACCACCTGCAGAACCACTCCTTTATAGGG